AGTCCTCAGGGGTAACAACGCATTTGCATTTTGATTTATACATACATACATATAATCACGCCTCTTTCCCGTAGGGGTAGACAGAGACCACTTCTATCCACTTGCTACGATCCTTACATACTTGTTTCGCTTCGTCCACTTTCATTATTCCCTTCATACCTGGTCTTTTTTCAAGACGTCCCTGATTTGGTCTAGAAATGTCCGCCTAGGTCTACCCCTTCCAACACTTTCATTCACACTCGCCTTATACACTTTTTTCGTCAATCGTTCTTCATTCATTCTCTCGAAATGGCCAAACCATCTCAGCATACCTTTCTCAATTTTTGTCACTACATCTTCTTTCAGACTACAACGTTTCCTTATCTCATTATTTCTTATCCTGTCACTCAGTTTAACTCCTATCATACTTCTTAACGCTCTCATCTCAACTGCATTTATTCTGCTTTCATGTTTCTACTGCCATACCCAACTTTAACTTCCGTACATGAGTGTCGGAACCAACACCCCTCGTGCACAGCCAAACGAGCCTTGTTAGACACCTTCCGACTGCTTATAAAGGAGTGCAAAGCTCCATTCATCATGTTTCCTGCATTCACTTTTCTTTAGATATCACTCTCACACTTTCCATCTCTTGTAAACTTTGAACCCAGATAAACAAACTCTTTCACCTGTTCAATTTGTTCATCTTCAATCACAATATTGCAGTCTGTCACTGCCTCATCTTTTTCAAACACCATCACTTTCATCTTCCTTACATTCATCTTCATTGCTTTTCTAACAAAAGCTCCACTCATAGCAGTTACCATCTCCTGCAACTCCTCGGCCAAAGGCGCATGTAATACTTGGTCATCTGCATAGAGAAAACATTTGACGAGTAACTCATTCATTCTCAACCCACTTTCATTTTCTTTTAAATCTGTCAAACATTTTCTCTTAAATCTGTCATATATTAGTTTCCGTGGAAGGTGGCAGATGCTGTACCTGCACTTCCTCTCTTTCAAACAAACTTTCAAAATACTCTTTCCATCTCTTTAACACACATTCTTCTCCTTTTATAATGCTCCCATCTTGACTCCTGATTGTACTCAGCTCCGAGGTAGAAGTTTTTCATCTGGCTGTTTTGATGGATTTCCAGAAAAACTTTATGTTTGACTGGAAATCTTCAGTGAGCCTCCTATCGAAATCATCCTTTCGTTCTTCTTTCTTCCTAGACACAATTTCTTTCGCTGCTGTTTTCAATCTTTTATACTTCGTTCATGCTTCCTTTATCTCGTCTTCCGTTGCCTTTTGAACTTTTTGGTAAGCTTTTGTTGCTAACCAATCCAACCACGCTTTCTTCTTTTCTTGCACAACCCTTTGTACATCTTTCGTCTCTCCATCCACACGTTATCATTCTTTCTTCTTTTCCTTCTTTTAGCTACCCCGCATACCTCAATAGCAACATTCACGACCCCTTTCTTAAATGTCTCCCACAAATCTTCAATCACACCTATCTCTTCTATCCCTTTAAAACTTTCTTTCAGGTTCTCTACATACTCGTCTTTCTTTTCGTTTTCTTGTAGATTTTCCACTTTTACTCTGTCCAAAACACTCCTAGGCTCGGCCCCTCGGTGTCGCCACCGTTTAAAGAGGCCACGCATTCGGGCTATGACCAGGAAGTGGTCTGTGTCGAGGCCTACACCGCGGTATGCCCGAGTGTCTAGCACTTTCTTCCTCAGTCTTTCATCTACATTTACAAAATCAATCATACTTCTAGACTCACCCTCATCTCTTGTTTACAAATGGATCTTTTTGTGGTCAAACATTGTGTTGACCACGCAGAGATTCCATTCCAAGCATACTTCAAGCAGGCTTCTCCCATTGTCATTCACTCTCTCGTCCCCAAGCGTACCCAGAACTCCTTCATACCCATCACGCTTTACCCATCCATTAAAGTCCCCTAACATCACGATCCGTTCATTTTCTCCGCATTTATTCAAGACCTCTCTCATGCTATCCCAAAATTCCTCTCTCTCTTGTTGGGATTTTAATGACCAACCTCCACGCAGATCCGTCGGTGCATAGACCCCAACGATAAACAAGCGAGTGAGTCCGACTTTTAACCTAATCCAGAGGAGTCTTGGGCTTACACATTCATGCTCCATCACACATTGAACCATTCGAGATGAAAGAATCACACCAACTCCCTGACAGCCTCGGCTCGTTTGGGAGACTCCCGACCAGTAAGTATGCCGTGTAGGGGCCATGAACCGTGGTGTCACATCCTTTCCTTTTGGTTTCGTTCACGCACAGAATATCAATGCATCGTTCATCCATCATCTGACATACTTCATCTACCTTACCATCTATTCCTCCTCTTACATTCAACGTAGCGAATCGGCTCTCCGTGGGCCGCTTTTCGCCCCCGCGAGAAACGAGACGTGATGGGTGGCGAACCACATCGTCGCCATTTTGGTTAATTAAATTATTTTTACGATTATCCATTGCGTTCCCACGAATAGCGAGGGAAAGGTTTGTCCCCCCAAGCAGAGCTCCGCATGCCAGGGTAAGGCTAGCCTAATTCTGGGGTCGCCCGGTCCCAGGGCAGTGTGGCACGCTATCGACTAGGCCCGCCCCTAGCCATGCATCCATCCGCGCGGCAGTCGTTGGATTGGCGGAGGGTAGGAATAGGAAAAGGGAAAGGATAGGTGGTGTGAAAAGGAAGAGTAAGGTAAGTTAGGGTGGGAAATAGGATATTACCGTCCAGGAGGGCAAGGGATAGGACAGTAATAGCTAGGGAAGCCGAGATTTCATACCCGTATACCATACCACAACTACCGGACAGGTAAATTGGGATGAGTATCCCTCGACTAAAGTATCCCTCGACTAAACTTTACGACTAAACTTTAAAGTAACCCTCGACTAACTTTTGATTTGCAAACGAGGATAAATGTAGATGTCTATGGGCCACAGTAACCACTTACCATCAGGTGGACTGTGTGCTCGTTTGTCACCCTATCCTATAAAAAAAAATTGTTGCCACGCTGTGCAGGCGTGGTGGCAAGCGGAGTTTTTTTTTTATTATTATGAGTTGTTATCAGGAATCAATCCCATCCCAGCCGATCAACTGTTTCAATTTCTCTCTGTCGCCTCCTTATCCACACCCACGATACACGGGACGATATGGGGTAGTGTATATTCTTATACCGCCACTTCTTTTGCTATTATATAGACAATAAAGTACGTGAAGAGCTGCGATTTTCTTTAGGTACGTACATTACCCTCGCGAATCTACAGAAAACACGCTAAATGTGTCACAAAACCAGTTCTCTCTATGTTGAGAGGTCTTATAATTACGTTATTCATATCGAAACTGTTTACTTAATTTTGTTTAGTACTCGTATCTCGTAGAGAAATGTTATGAATGGCTCTCAAAGCCAGTATGTCATATAAAATAAAGTTGAACACCACAGTAAGCGAGAGATCGGATAAAGCACAATTTACTAAACGACTAGTACCAGTCCAGATTCTGAGATGAGTATTGAAATACCGTTACAAAGAATCTGAGAACCTATCTCTAAAATAGGATTTAACATTATTCCTAGCATGCTAAGGACTGATTTTGCAAACATTAGATAAAAGTTATGCATAAAAAACATAAGCTGACTGAATATTAAAAGTGAAATAATTAAATAATTTTACTTACACAACAGTAATTTTTAATTAGTTTATAATGTTGTATTTTATCTTATGAATAAATTTTATCTGCTGATTGAAAAATCAGCCCTCGGGCGGATATAAACTGTCAAATTCATGCCATAAAAAACATAACTTGTAAAAAAACCAAGTCTCAGTCAATATGGGATTACAAAGTTATTTATGCAGTTGGTATATCTAGAAAACTGGACCGAAATTACAAAATATTTTAATTTTTCCTTGATTTATACACTAAACACTAATTGTATTCTAAATTTGAAGCTTCTACATCTGCTAGAAGTGCCTTAGAGTTTTGATGATCGGTCAGTCAGCGAGTGAAACTTTGACTAGTTATAATTCCTAAACTACTGGTTCAAATTGAATAAAATTTGAAATATACTGTTTCTATACAATGTATGCTTGGTTATTGAAAACTAAGGCTTCTAGTTTTATCCACAACGAAGTTATAGGGGGTCGAAAATGGCCTGAACTGCTTCGAGAAAAGGATGGTACGGCCGTGCCGCTTTTTGGCTCGACTTGGCGGGGGCACCGCCGTGCCACCAGATAAGTGTTTATGCAGAGTAATGAGATTTTTTAATCAGAAATCAGAAATTAAAAATCAGTTTGACTTAAATTTATTTAATTTGGTTCGTTTATGCAATAGGTACGCAAGTTTTGTAAATATAAAAGCTGTATTTTTTTTTCTCGAAACTGTTAGATTCTTTTGTTTTTTAAATATGCGTTATATATTCACGTGTGCTGGTAGTTCATGTGCTGGTGACACAAACGACTACGTGTAGTCGAAATTGGTCCGTTCTTCCTTTTTAATAAAAATTTAAAATTTTAGCAAAACCCGAGACACGGTGAGTGTAGATTTTTGACCTAATAAACAATAAACTAAAAATAGAGAGCACCCTCCGCGACGCGTGCGCCGCTTTATTTTTGGAACATGCGTCTACACACCGGGATATGAAACATTTAAACAAAACCCTTGTTTAGTGACGACGCTTCCTTTCTTTATTAAATATAATATATTTATTTCAAATAAGAAATCAACAGCACAACGTATATTTTTTTTAGTTGTACTTACAGTCATAAACCCATATAAATATTGAGGTCGTCGGCCTCTAATTGGGTACTCGAACTTTAAACTAAAAATATTGGTCATGACTAACATCGTCCGCGCAAATTGTGAAATACATTCACCATCCTGAATTTCCCGTCGGGTTATACATTCCTACTCTTCCTGATTAGTTGTATATTTGAGTCTAGTTCAATATTCGAGTCCATACGAAAACAACGTTGTGTTTAAAGTGAAGGAAACAATGACTCGTGGACCGACGATAGTGCGTGTGGCGCCCACCACCGGTAACGGTGGGAGAGGCATCAAGTGCTGCTGTTGTCGCTGCTGCGAGTGCTTCAACTTTGGATATCTAACCTCACAACATGGAATCATCAAATTATCTGAAGCTGTAAGTATCAGAACACTTGCGAACTATTTGAAGTTAAACTTTTGTTTATAGAAGTAAGGTTGATAAGCGAGCAAACAGTTCACCTGATTGTAAGTGCATGTAGATATTATCAATAAAAAACCATATTATCGATTCTGCTGTCGGTGTTCAGCAGGGTAACCCACTAGGTCCAGCACTTTTCAATTTGGGAATTCAACCCATTATTTCAAATTTGAGATCCAAGCTGAATGTCTGGTACCTGGACGACGGTACACTGGGAGGTAGAGCAGATGACGTCCTCAGTGATCTTACTCATATTTTTCGAAATTTTAAAATATTGATCTTGAACCAAATAGCAATAAACGTGACATATTTTTTTCCAATAATTTATTTAGTTTTAACAAAGACATTTTAATTAAAAATTACAATCTTTTATATATATACTTCTCCAGGAATAAAAACTGTCAGTACAGAATTGCTATACCTGCTAGGTGCCCCGTATAATATATTCATAGACATAATATATCCACGATTAAGAATCAAAACGTGGTCCTTTCTCGATTGAGATGACCCATTTGCGATGCAGACATAATATGCTGCGTTTTTTTTACCACGTAGAGACAAATATGATCGTACTATTTCAACTTCTCGTATTAAAAATAGAAAATATAATTTACGTTACGAATTACCCTAGAACAGCTAACAAAAATTGTATATAATACATATACGACCAGACGCCGAGTTAGTCCAGCATATTTGTCAGTTGAGTTCGTTTCATTCGAATCCGGCATAACCTAAAATCACATTAAAAAAAACATAAACACTAACGCCTGTTACCCAGAGGGGTAGGCAGAGATTTTGGACTTCCATTTGGCACGATCCTGACACACCTCTCTCGCTTCCTCTACATACATATACCTAGGCATACACGCTCGTCGGTTAAAGGTACTCTTGATTTGGCCCATTTTCAATATATCGCCAATTTCACGTTCACCTCTGCAACATAAATTTGCTTTGTCACTCTTTCCTCATTCATTCTTTCTACATGAGCAAACCACCGAAGCATTCCTTTCTTAATCCTGGTCATAAAATCATCTTGCAAACCACACTTTTCTCTTATCACACAATTTCTCACTCTGTCATTCAGATTTATCCCTAACATACTCCTTAATGACCGCATTTCTACAGCATTTATTCTACTCTCGTGCTTCACAGTTTAAAATTTCCGTTTTATGTGTGTTGTTTTTTGGATTTTGGTTTCGGACGTTTCATTTTCTGATTATTTATATATATATATATATATATATATATATATATATATATATATATATATATATATATATGTGTATATATATATATATAAGTGGCTGCTGTGGCCCATAGACATCTACATCTATCCTCGTTTGCTAATCAAAATGCAGATGCGTTGTCACCCGTGAGGACTAAGATGGAATGGCTCTTTTCCAGTAAAAAGGGTCTCCGTTTCTCTAGACTCACCATACGAAACACAGCAGTGTTAAGCTGCTATTTTACGCTGGTATTCTGTGAGAGCGTGTTCCATCCCCGGTCGAGCCGACCTATTCGTGTTACAACTATACTACTAATATAGCTGCAGCATGGCTCTACCGCGTAAAATAAAATATACATGCAGTTTTTTCTTTTTATAATTTTTTAGTTTTTATTATGAAAACGCTGCTGCCCATCTCATTGTGTCACCTCTTACGACACCCAAGGGATGATATTGTGAGGTAGTGGATATCCTTACACCGTCACTACACAGTGAACAGTACAGAATGAGGGGATAGAAGAAATTCACAAACATTTATAAAAACAAATATATTGTTTTATAATTGCAGATGTTAGGAGGACTATGTCAAAGCTTGCTCGTGAAGTACGGAATGGCAGAAGCCAGCGCTATGGGGTCGGCATTCCACGGATTTCTGACCACAGCTTCGGCCTGTCTGCTCACCACGTCCCTCCTCATCACATGCTACGTGCTCTCTTCTAATTCTCAACATTTGATAAGACAATCAATATTCGTACGTACTTATATCTTTGGGAATTTCTAATGCATACAAATATAACACTTAAAAAAGTACATATTTTAAGTATTATGTTATTTAAATACAAGATGAGGCAAACCTGATGGTAAGTGCCGACGACCGCACATGAAGAACTGCAATACCAGAGGAATTGTAGGTACTGTGTGGTTTTTTAAAGAAAGCAAGTTCGTTTCTTGAAGGTCCCTAAGTCGTATCGGGTATCATCTTTATTTCATAATATAATACTTCTACAATTTATCTATAAAGTACTCAAAAGATTAATTTATATAACATATAAATATAAATATAACTTATTTAATTTTGTCGTCAAGTTTTATTCTTTGTTGGGTAAATGTATAAAATGGCTGTTAACTTATGAATATAAGTTGTAAACGGCTATACGTTTTGTTTCATGGAATAGGCATACGTTTACAGTATTTGCGCATAGCTATGCATTATGCAAACATGACAAAAGGAATTCGGAGTAAGAGCAACAAAGAACAGTTAGCTTCGCCTTGTGATTAAGGCGGCCAACTTTATGAAAAGTAAATGCGGGACATTCGTGTTTGGATGTCGTGCTTGCTTGAAATTAGGACACAAACAAACGTAGAGCTTAACTGAAGTCATTATTTATTTTTCATAATTAAATTTCTCCCATCAGTGAGATAATGTTGTTTTTTTGTATTTCTTTCTTTTATACGCATATGTCGCGGGCTGCGAAATTATGTACAATTATACTCACGCATAGTACATTAGTAAAGCATACCGTGCGTTGGTTAGTCTTGGAGATCTAATAAAATTCTATCTAAATCTCTATTCCAAATAAATTACTAAAAATACTAAAAAAATCTAAATCTAATTTCCTATTTAAATAATTTAGCAATGTGGGACATACATTTGACATTTTGGGGGAATATTTTAATACTATTGCAATGTGGGATAACAACTGTTACGACGGGACGGTTGGCCACCTTATTCGTGATTATCACGAAATCCTGTAACTGATCAATACACTCACGTAACCTATATCATACCTTGACATCTTATCTAATGATAATTAATGATATAGTCGATAAAATTAAAATAGATAAAAGAAACTTGGAAAGGCCGGACTGCCGTGTTCGTAATTTGAATCATTTGCTTTATGTTACCTTATTAGCTTTTAGTATAGGTACTTATAATGATGTTTCGTCTCGTCCCATTTTCGGTTTAGTCTTCAGACAGAAGCAGTCATCGGGTCAGTGGATTTTATAGAAATGAAGTAAAGAAAGAAAGAAAGAAAAACAATTACACGCAAATCTAACCTAATTAGCTTACTCGTCTGTAACATAATGAATTTCCGCAAAGCAATTCCTGATTTCATGTAAATAAATAACTATTAAAAACAAACATAATGCAGTAATATTTTGTTCACTAATACTCGTAGAACAACACATTCGAAATAGTGTCCTTCGAGCAAATACTTATTATTTTAGGGATTATTATAGATTATTACCATAATTGTTTCCACTTTAAAATCTGTCAAAGAACAGACATACGAGTACGTATAGTACTTATACAAAATCAGTTCTTGTTTAGCGGTCTATGTGCATGCATAAATATTCACATATATTCGGCGATTATAGTATCGTAATATCAAAATAATTTGCGAAACGTTCGATTAGTTTTTATACCAATTTATTATTTAATTTAGGTATTTTTTAATTTATTTCAATTCTTGGAAATTAAATTAAGCGTGACTTCACAAAATTATTTTTATTTAATGTTTTGTATTAGCGAAAAAAAAACATAAAATATCAACGTGACTAAGTGACTAACCTACATAACCTTACTCTGTCAATCGTCAATGTCACTGGTAATTTTCTGCTATTCAACTACCGAGCGTGGCGATTATGATAATCCTTAGCTATAGGCAATGGGCTGGCCATATAGTTCGAAGATCGACAACACATGGAGAACAAAAGATCTTGAGTGGCAGCCTTCTACCGGCAAGCGCAGGTTGGGTGACCCCTACATGACAGAGTGACGATCTGATGAAACAGGCAGGTAGTCGATGGACACAGGTGGCTCAGGACCATACTTTGTGGCAATTATTAAGGGAGGCTTATGTTCAACAGGGACTGGTGTTAGACATCAGTTATATTTGTACATTACATCACTCCATTTCGTCCCGTGGTTATCATAAGGAGCAACTATGATCAATGTCAGAAAAATGTTTACGTCAGAGGTAACATTCCTAGATAAGCGCCGGGTGGTCAAAGGTGCGGGACATCTGGTACTGCGACCGTCTAGTCAATCCGCTAGTATGACATTATTTTATTATGTGGATATGATTATGTAGTTACCTTGACCTTGTGATGACAGCGTAAGAATATCCACTTCCTCATACATCTCGTGTGTGACATAAAAGACGACAAACGAAACTAAAAATAGAAATGGGTAGCAGCATCATCCCCATAATAACAGAAAATAACAAAAACCTGCATTGTCAACTCGATTGCAAGCTGTGACAAAATCCCCGTTGTGATGCAAGCTATGGGAAAGACCTATGATTAGGAAGACTTTTTATACGTGGCAGAGCCATGCTGCAGCTATATTATGGTTGTAGCACGAATGGGTCGACCGGGGAAGGACCACGCTCTTACAGAATACCAGCGTAAAATAGCAGCTTAACGCTGCTGTGTTTCGTATGGTGAGTGTAGAGAACCGGAGACCCTTTTACTGGAAAAGAGGCATTCCATCTTAGTCCTCACGGGTGACAACGCATCTGCATTTTGATTCGTAATCGAAGATAGACGTAGATGTCTATAGGCCACAGCAACCACTTACCATCAGGTGGACTGTGTGCTCGTTTGTCACCCTTTTCCTATAAAAGAAGGTAGACTGTAATGAATCAATCAGTGAGATTTAAAAGTGTTTGTCTTAATTTATTTAAAAAAAAAACATTTTTAACAAGTTTTGCGCACTGTGTAGTGGCCATGTAAGAATATCCATTACCACATATCGTCCCGTGGGTGTCGTAAGAGACGACAGAGGGAAACAAACCAGGGGATGGGCAGCCGCGTCTTGCCAATATAAGGAAAATAAAACAAAAGCTGATGCCAACCCGCCTCTCAATTACGCCTGTTCTGGGCAATCTTTGTGGAGGTCTATGTTCAGCTGTGAACTTTGATAGTCTGTAATGATGATGATGATGAAGTTTTGCAATTGTTAACATTTTCCATTATGCCCCCGCGTTGTCAAGTCGAGAATGCCACATGACGTTATTTCCGCTGTACACACCCTTTTATTAAAGATATTGTCACTTTCTCACACAACATATTTTTAGATTACCTACTTTATTTCTCATTTCAGGAATGTGTCTTCAACTCGGTGGCATGCTTCATGTACTTATCTGCCTCTTCCTACATGGGTGTAGCTGTTAACATATATTTGTATCCAAGATATTCGTTAATCAGCATGTACGCAGCGTATCCTGCGATGACTGCCGTATACGTAAGTGATATCCGCTATTAATTTTAGCCGACTTCAAAAAAGGAGTAAGTTAAAGAAAAGTATGTAAGTTACGTGATATTTTTACCAATTTTGTACTGAATGTAATGATTATTTTTTTATTACACTTTCATGTAATTTTGGAAAAATAATTTCGGAAAAGAAAAAATATATACCTATTAATAGTCTTTAAGTCCGTAATGTTGTAATTTAGACAACATTGTATAAACCCATTTAAAAAGGTCAAAAATTTTAAACTTGTTAATGAGTAAAAATCAATTTCAAAAAACTAAAACTAATGTGACTGTGTTAGCAAGGTGTATTAAAGAATTATAGCCCCGATTTGAGAAAAGTTATGTGCAAATTATTATACTCCTTTTAGTTATTTGTGATCGGGGTGAAAATGTGTCCCGTAACATTGTGCCATTAAACTTTATCTAGGACATGTTAAACATGTCTAGGATATGATAACTTTGTTTAGCAAAGTATTGAGTTTAAACATTCATGATATATATTAACTAGCAAATATAACTTAGTTTCGCAGCTGATATCTTTCTCATTCGGTGATATGCCGAAATCAGTTTGAATATATTCGCTGGATATTTGGGTCAGATTATCGGCGTAATTTGCTGTGGGATCTAGTAATAGCGTTAGAATAACCATTAAACCATATTTTCTTGTAGAAGGGTGACAAACGAGCACACAATCGTACTGATAGTAAGGGCATTTTGTGGCCTATAGATACCCATCCTCGATTAAGAATGAAAATGCAGGTGCATTATTACCTTGGATGACTAAGATATGATGCTTTGTTACCAGTAAAACAATCAGTAATTCACTGCAGTGGGGCTGTACGACCTAAATTTTTGTACTCAATAAATACGGTTACTACTTTATATTAATTAAAAGTGCAAACATGTAATTAATAGTGTTCTTAAATTTATAAGCATTAAAATTATTTTAACGTTATGTTTGTCTGTTTCAGTATATTGGCGTCATAGTTGGTATTGTTCACGGCGCGGACGCATATATTTCGTATAAGTACCACAAGGGTATTCGATAATAATTGATTGCATTGATGCATCATTCTCACAACCAATTACACGGATTTTAATGTTTAAAAATTTTATTTTTCATTCCACTGGGTCGAAGATAGTTGTCTGCTAGCTAGTATGTGTCCCATAGTGGAACTTAAAACAATTATGATGTGAAAAATGATATCTATGAAAATGGTAAAATAACATAATATCTCTAATTATATATCAATAATGCATTTCTTGGTACAACTTAACAATATGTGGTTGTTTAAAAATTGTTACCCTTAATAATAATATTGATGTTGTTTTTATTTCTAATGTGTTAGAGATTAAGATGGAAACACATGTAAAACCTATAGGTATTGGTGAAATAATAATACTTAAACATTATTGTGACGCCTTTAGTAACAAGTAAAGTTACTATATACATAATTAATATGGTGGTGAGAATGTGTTATTACAATATAAATGTAAGTAATAATTATGTAATTATTTCAATATCGAAAATTTGCGGAGAGGTAAACCGGCGCGGCGTTGTTTACATTTTTAAATAGACCTTTTTAAGCGTAAGTATTTTTTACGTATGCTCACCGATTTCTTGGAAACGGCTAAACCGATTTCAATGGTTCTTATTATAATAAATATCTACTTCTGGGGTGGTCCCATATAAATTTAAAGAAAAAATCGACCTCTAGGTCTCTAGATAGGGTGGATGAATTTAAAGTAACTTGTTGCATTTTTGATTCCATTTGTGCTTATAATATTTAGTATTTATATTAGTATTATAAATAAGTATTTTGGATATTAAAATAATATTAAAGTTTTTTAAAAGCGATAAATGTTTATATGTGTTTTATTTCTACGACATACCTACTGCTATCTGTTTTTTTTTTTTAATATAACAGCGAGTTATTTAAAAAATATGGTTATGTTGTGTAAAATAGCGTAACGCGGGTTGTGCCTGGCACCGACGCGACGTCATCGGCTTTGTTAACAATATTCGACGCAAGCGTCGATGTCGAATTGAACAATGTATTCAAATAACACAGCACACAGCTCTTCATTTTCCTCATGATTTATTTATTTATAACGCGAAATTTTAATTAAATAGGTAGTAATGATGTTTTAAATGACCCCATATTATCACATCCCGTTGGTGGTGCCCTTTGGAATTCCAAAGGAGCTGAATTTTTTAAACAAAAAGACTAAAAAAAATTATGTCGTATATGGCGAAGTAATATCATAAAGTTGAATTGAATTTTCATGCTATTTTTTTTAAATAGTTAGAATAAAAATTGAATATTTACGAGCAGGTTAATCACTACTGACACTTTTCGGTTACTTTTTACAAAAAACCCTATACCTACCGAAACAGTAATAACAATGCATCCTTGCTCTTCTACTTATTACAAAGATATAAATAGGTAGCCCTTTCGCCGCCATCGCCTTGTAGTAGGAAAAGAAGCCACTACTTCATATCATCACGTAGGTAGAGGGTAAAGAAACTGAAGATAGGCAGCAGCATCATCCTGCTTAAAACTACTAAAATTAATAAAAAACTGCGGTTGCCAACTCGACTGTCAAGCATGGCAACTTGGCAACTATGGAGAATGTAATAGGATGTTAAAAATAAATGAATGAATCAATTAAATGTTTAGCATTTCAAATATAACTTGTTAAAAGATTGCTTGAAGTTTTGTTCTTACAGTTATTAATAAAGTACCGCCATTTTATAGTGTCTGATAACAGGTACGATTGGCCGACAGATAAATTTTCAAGAACTTACAGTGGAGAAGTTACCTATTATTCGTGACAGTTATAGAATTTTGCTTATTTCTTTTTAAGAATAAGGCAGTGGACATTGATTTTTTATGGGTTGAAATTAGGGTTGCCAGATCGGAAGACCAAAATATCTGGATAAAATTAGAAAATGTCGGGATTTTGGGGTTGTTGTCGGGAGAAATAAATGTTAAAACATAACATAATAAACACTCACGCCTGTCACCCAGAGGGGTAGGCAGAGACTATGGACTTCCATTTGGCTCGATCCTGACACACCTCTCTCGCTTCCTCCACATCCATATACCTACGCATACACGTCCCTCGCATAAAGGTACTCTTGATTTGGCCTATTTTCAATATATCGCCAATTTGGTCGATAAACTTTCGCCTAAGGCGACCCTTCCCGACTCCACCGTTCACCTCTGCAACATAAATTTGCTTTGTCACTCTTTTCTCATTCATTCTTTCTACATGACCAAACCACCGAAGCATTCCTTTCTTAATCCTGGTCACAACATCATCTTGCAAACCACACTCTTCTCTTATTAAACAATTTCTCACTCTGTCATTCAGATTCATCCATAACATACTCCATAATGACCGCATTTCTACAGCATTTATTCAACTCTCGTGCTTCTTCTGCCACACCCAACTTTCCCTACCATACATTAAATTAGGTACTAACACAGCATTGTGAATTGCCATACATGCCTTTTTGGACACATTCTGACTTCATAAATTAAACAAGGTGTACAGCAGGTCTGCCACCACTCCTTCTCCAGCCCTTAGCATTTCGAGAGATACTCTATCATAACTGGTTGCCTTACCTGCTTTCATACTTTTCATTGCTTTCATTATTTGATCTATACTTATATCTCTATCTATTTCCTCTTCTTTCGGAATTTCTATTTCATTTAATTCAAACATCTCATCACTCATAAACACGCTTTCAAAGTATTCCTTTCATCTCCTTAAACTCAAAACTTCGTCATTCAGAATACAGCCATACTGGTCTCGTATAGCATTCATTGTAGGCTGTTTTGAATATCCCCTGGTAGTTTTTACGAGTTTCCAGAACATTTTAATGTTTGCCTCGAAGTTATCCGATATTCCTCTATCATTCTTAGCCGTTCTTTCTTGCTTTTTCCTTTCAACTACTTCTTTTACTCTCTTATTTAGGTGTCTAAAGACTGCCTTTTTCCTTTCAATATCATTATTCATACTGCTAGAATTACTAGCCTTGGTTGCTAGTAAATCTAGCCATGCTTTCTTCTTTGCTTCAACTTCCATCCATACCTCATCATCCCACCATGACGTGTTATTTTTCCTTTCATTTGTTCTCTTACTTACACCACATACTTCGGTAGCTGCATCCACTAAACCTTTCTTGACATTATACCACACAGTCTCCAAGTCTAAATCATTCATACACAATTCAGCCATACCACTTATATTTTCTCTCAATCTACATTTAAACTTTTTTTTCACACCTTCATCTTTTAACCTCTCTGTTCTTATACGCTGTAACGCAGTTGGTAGACACAGATGTCCGATGCCTCCAACGTCTGAAAAGACCATTAATTCAGCATAAGACCAAGTAATGATCCGTCCCTACGTTAGAGCCCCGGTAAATCCTTGTATCTACCACCGCGCTCCTCATTCTTTCATCAACAATTATGAAATCTATCATACTTCTATCATCACCTCTTTCCCATGTATACGTGTGAATCTTCTTATGACGAAAGAAAGTGTTCGTCACAAAAATATTCTTTTCCACGCATACGGCGAAAAGGCTTTCACCATTCTCGTTTATACTTTCATCACCAAACGTTCCCAATATCCTTTCATAATCAAGCCTCCTCACCCCAACCCTTCCATTAAAATCACCTAATATCACAATATTTTCATTAACCTTGCATTTCATTAGCACCAACTCCCAAAACTGCTCTCGGACATAAGTGGGCTTAGACATGTCCGAGAGCAGTTTTGGGAGTTGGTGGACGTAGACCCCTAAAACAAACAACTTCTTTAAGCCCACTTTCATTCGTATCCATAGCAGTCTCGGGCTTACACATTCATACTCTTTCACACAATGACCCATTCTTTCTGAAAGGATGATACCGACTCCCTGGCATGCCCGCTCGGTCTCGTCTACACCAGACCAAAACGCGGTATACATGCCATGTGTAGTGGCATCCTTTCCCTTCCGTTTCGTCTCATTTACACATAACACGTCTATTACTCTATCACGCATCATATCGCATACTTCATCCATCTTATCATTCATTCCTCCACATACATTCAATGTAGCCAGACGGGCTTCCGCAATCCACTGTTAATGAAATGTTGTAAATGTTAAATATAAAAATGTAAAACAAAAATATTATTTTTAAATTAATGGGCTACAATACAAATATACTTAACATTGTTAACAGATAATTAATGTAACTACACTTAATTTTGCGGTTGCCACAGGTATTTGGCATTGGACTTTACTGAATCCACCAATTTGGATCCTTTAGTGGTATTCAGAAAAGATTTAAAATTTAAACAATTTTCCTCAAAGTTCATTCTAATTAGTAACCCAGCTTTTATTAAATCAATAGCCATACTATTTCTCTCTTTAGTATATAAATTATTTAGTAAACTTAATACCCTTTCACAATAAGCATTGCTTACAAGAATTCACAACATAAATGATATAATTTTTTTTAAATTTCATAATTTCGTTTTGGTTGCATTTCAATTTTAAATTATTAACATTTCGAGAAGCTGTTTGTCTGGAGATTTTGAGTTTTGTCGGGAGTCGGGAGATCATTTAAAATGTCGGGAGAATCCAGACGAATCCCGACCATCTGGCAACCCTAGTTGAAATATAGAGAATATTATTGTTTTATAGTTACGATACTGGCAGGCGCATGGACGGAGGTGGATTAGATGTCGACAGCAGCCTAGGCTAGCACCTCAACGGCGCCCCTCTGACGGCCATAATATACTTATTATAAATTATATCGAATTATTTTGCAAATAAAGTATATTATAATTAGATCACGGACAAAGCTAGAGCAACGCAAAAAAGTGTGTATAAAACAAAATATCATAGACATTTGTGACAATGAAGTTTATTAATTTGGATTAATGAAAAAATACCAGATGGAAGTTAGCGTAGAACATGCTTTTTTTTTAACTAAACTGGATGCCAAGTAATTGCTCCATAAATGCTCCAGCAGAATTAGAAATTGCT